TGCCTGCAGTTCAAGATGTATTAACTATTAGCTCCTTCTCCAGCACAATGTCTGCCTATATGTTGCTATGTCCTGCCGTGATGATAATGGACTAAACCTCCCAAACTGTAAGCCATCCAATTAAATATTTTCTTTTATAAAGTTTGCTATGGTCATGGTGTCTCATCACAGCAAAAGAAACGCTATTACAGGGCTCTTCAGTAAACCTGAATGGTCCTCACCTGCAGGTGCCCTAGCCATTCCACTAGGGAAATGGCTAGGTAGGTTTCTGTCCCTCGGAGACTTTTTTTTTTGATTCTCTGTGGGTTTCACATCTTGCATTCTGATCCTGCTTATATCCCCACCCACTCGCATCTGCCCTCTGCCCTTGCAGCATCTCCCCCCCCAAATTAAAACCAAATTTAAAAGAAAAAAAAAAGAGAAAGGTAAATCTTGGGGAAGCTTCTGGGTGGCCCATTAAGTCGCATAGTTTACTGTTGTAGAATATTATTTTAAGGTGTGTTACTTTTGTTTATGCTATGGAACATTTGTCTAATGATGCAAAGCTATGTTTGGTTAAATAAAATTCACCTGCAGTCAGGAGGCTGGGTCAGCATCTAGCTGACAGGAAGTTGTAGGGAGGAGCTAGATAGAGAAGGGTTTATAAGGAGGGGTGAGAACAAGCACAAGGACTTGTTCTTCAGCTTCTGTGGGATCCAGGATCCTAACTCAGCCTTTGGATCTTGATTTCTTAGTGGGACAGAGATCTAAATAGGTTTCCTTAGTAGCTTTGAGAGATTCTGTGCCTGCGAGAACAGAATTCCCTCATGCTTCTGGCACTTGTGGCCCAGGAGCTTCTGGTAGCAGCGGAGTTAACAGTTGCTGAATAGGATATCCGTAGCTTAAAAGGCAAAAAAAAAAAATCCCAAACAGTTTACCCTTTAGTCCATTCATCTTTACTTGTGTTCATTGCCATGAATCATTGCTTTGGCTCCAGGCCTCTGGCTTCTGCTATGTCACTGATACTGTGCCCTCACTGGGGCTCCTCTTGGATTTCCTGTTGTTGTCCTGTGTCATGGAGATCCTGCAGTTTTGGATCTGTAGGTTTGTCTCCTTCACATGCTCCAACAGTTCATAGATTCAGTGGATGGTTGGGGTGGGCTAACTTATAGTCCTGGTTCTGGGCCTGGGTGGTAGCTGGGTTGGTCAGCCCGCCAGCTTCTTTCCCTCGTCATCATTACCCAAGTAAGCTCTCCAGCACTGCCTCAGTTAGCTCATCCAATGCAGCCTACAGCAAGGGGTGGGGCCAATTTTTCTGCTCTCAGGTCCTCAGATCTGGGTCCCCCACCCTCACATCACCAGGGCCAGCTCTACTGTTTTGCCCAGGACCCTCTCTCCTGATTGCTGTTGGGGATATGTGTGGGGAGGGGGATCAGCTTTCATGCCCTCAGGGCTGGCTACTTTGCACCCAAGATAAGAGGGTCAGCTCTAGTAGGGTGCAGGATCTGCTCTTCTGTGTGCTGCAGGTGGTGTGGGGCCGTGTTTGTTCTCTGTTTCATGATCCCTGGGGCCAGCTCTCTTGCCTGCTATAGGTGGTAATGGGTGAGGGGTAGATTACATCTTTTCTCTCACCCATGCCACTTCATGGATAATGGGGGGGGGATCAGCTCCCCTGATCTCAAGGCCTCAGGGTTGGCTTACCTGTATCCCCCACCACAGGGTCAGCTCTAGCATGCTGCCCAGCTGGGGTGCAGGGCCTGCTCTCCTGTGTGCTGCAGCTGGTGAGGAACAGGGCTAGTTTTCCCACTCTTGTGACCCCAGGGCCTGCTCTCACAAGACCACAGTGTCAGTTCTAGTGTGCTGCCCAGGTGAGGTGCACACCTGTGGTGAGGCATTGGGGCCATCTTTCCCAAGTGCAGGGAGTGGGGTAGGGGGATGGCAAGCTCTTCCCTCAGGGGTAGGGCCAGCTTGTTTGGTTTTAGTATCCAGGTAGGGGCAGGACCAGCCAGCCCAGGGCCAGTGAAGGGCAGGGCCAGTTCATCACAGCATGGTTCCAATGACCCCCTGAGCTAATGTGGGCCATGGTCATCTTCACAAATCCCAATGGCAGAAGGACCATGGACCCAGACATGGCCCTCGGCAGCACTTCTGTCTGGCTACCACCACAGTGCTTGTGGCAGCACAGACCACCCAGATCAGCACAGCCCCGTCAGCAGCATGGCCTCTGGGCCACCAACATGGTCCCAGGTAACTGACTGGAAGCTGGGCATCCACAGAGCCCTTGGTGGCAATAGGAGCCACAGACCCCACCCCAGACCTCAGTTGCTATTGTGCCTCAGACCAAGACATGGACCTAGGCAGTGCTCTGTGTTTGGATGTTTCCATAGCTCCAGGTGGAAGCACCAGCCACCCAAATCAGCATGTGACCCTGTGTGGGGCATGTAACCTTTTTTTGTCTTTAATTTCCTTGGATGCAAGATGAAGTAAATTTTTAGAGGTAAATTAATACTTGCATGGGGTAAAGAAAAGCTTCAAATGAGCTTTTAAAAGTATTTTTGGGTTTTCATCTCTTTTAGGTCCTTCCAATTGCACAATTTGCCAGTGTGTCAGCTACAACTGTTCTGTCAAGCACTGTGTAGTCCATGCTGTAAAATCAAAGACTCAAAGTTGAAGTTTGCTTTAAACTCTTAAGGTATTAAAGATAAAGACTGGGTTACCAGACATTATAATTCTAGGAGATTGGACCTGAAAACAAAATATGGCCAGGACTCAGCTTATCCATCCACAGTGGAACAGCACACAGGAGTTGTTACTACAAGCCCTGAATGTAGAATGGGTAGAAATGGTTCAGTCTAAGAACTCCATTCATTCCTCCTTTTCTTCTTTAGATGTGTTGTTTCTGCTACAGTGAGAGTGTGGTAGGTGGGAATGCTTGTAAATTCTGTTAGGTGCCCTTCTTGAGTCCCAGAAGAGCAATCTGTTTTTCCTACCAGACTCTTATTGTCTGAGTTTCCTTTCAGTTTGGTCCTATGCTGATCTTCATCTTGCTGATCCTTTCTCTCCATCCATGTCCTCCTCGATGCTTCATTTATTTCTGGGATGTTCAAATCTTGGCCTCTCACTGCCCTAGACTTCTGTCCTCACTCATTGGCAGGTGCATTGCCCCTCCCCCCCAACTCACTCACACACATGCACGCAGCCTGACCACCTGGAATCCCACCCCTTTGCCACAGAGAACAGTTCTTTTTTCCTTCCATCCCCAGGGAAGAAACAGCCTTTCCAAACTTGAATGAGTAAATTAACTTTCTTTATTTTTGTGAACATCTTATTTTAAAACATAGGTAAAGAAAAATCTTTTATTCAAACTTCCCTGTCCTCTGTCTTATATACCATACCATACTGCCTCTGTTCCCTGCCTGATACCTTGTTTGCTGACTGTCTTTCTATACCTTTTAAATTCATACTGAAATGCACATTTCATAAGATATGAAATATAAAGTTAGTAACATATTTCTATTCATATATATACCTAAGAACTTTAAGTGTTTTTATTTTATACAAAATAAAAATGATCCCTCTCACAGTACTGTTTTTCTTTTAATTTCATTGGCTATGTCTCCCATACAGCCTTACATTACAGTACATGAGATCATTTTTTCTCTCCTTGCATTTAAATCTTTCTCTACTATTGCCTTTAATGGCTCAAGTTTCTACCAATGAGGCTTCCTTTAGAACTTCCGAGTCTTAAGGAGCTTTCCTGAAGGATGCAGTATTTCTCACAGGAAATCTCTACCAAAAGAACTGCCTTTATTAGAGTTTAAATGCTTGCCAGATATTTCACCCAAATATCTTTTCCCCAGCATGTTTGCTAAGTGACAAAGTAGCACTCTCTTAACCTTGCATCTTACTTGACTTCTTCCCTTCACAGCCTAGTCCTTGTAGAGAAATGGCTCTCAAACTGTGGGTCATGGCCCCTTTGGGGAGTCAAACAACCCTTTCACAGCAGTCACCTAAGACCACTGAAAACACAGATATTTCCATTATAATTCATAGGAGTATCAAAATTACAGTTATGGAGCTGCAATGGAATAATTTTATAACTGGGGGTTACCGCAACATAAGGAATTGTATTAAAGGGTCGCAGCATTAGGAAAGTTGAGAACCACTGTTGGAGAAGTTCCCTTCACTCCGCAGTCCTGGCAGTTTGGTTTTACACCATCCTCAGTTTTCTTAAAGATCCAAAGTAAACGCCAGACCCAGTGGACATTTTTCAGCCAGCTTCAGCCTCTGTATCCTTGTTTTATGACTCTACCTGTTTGCATGACTAAGCACTTCATTGCCTAACAGGTTCCCAACTCAGGTTGTTTCTTTGCCCTCTAGTGGACATGCGGCACTATGCAAGACAGTTTTGGTTGCCAAAAATGAAGGGATAGGGAGAGTGGGTCGCACAGAAACATTATGGGTAGAGGCTAGGGATCTGCTGACTCCTTACAATGAACAGGAACTCTTACCCCACAGCAAAGAACTATCAAAATCCAGATGTCAAGTGCAATGAGGTTAGGAAACCCCGCAGTAGACGGAGATAAACAAGCCCCAAAGGATGTTTAAAAACAGGCTGGAGATCTGCAACAGAAGATAACTGTACTGTCACCAACAGCAGACAATGCATAGTCACATTTCTGCTGTTACAGGTGTCTCATGCCACAATGGCTTCGTATTCTCCAGGTTCATAGTCTCTAGGAGATGGTCAGCATTCTTCCAGTTGTGTCTCAGTCTGGTTCAGGTACCTGAGGACTAAAACACATATATAGTTCTTCTCAACACATTTGAAGCAGACTAATCTCCCTCCTCCTCCTCCTTAACTGTCTCTCAACTCCCACTTTCCTCCTCAGTCCCTTCCCCCACTGAGACAGGGTTCCATTGTACTTTCCATTTCAGAATACACTGAGAGCCTTTAAAGTCCACATTCTCCTTCATGTAGCATGCTGCTGAGTTGGAAGGGAGAATCCCACTGTGCTCACCTCGACTGGCAAACGCTCTGTCGGATCAGAGGCTGACTCACCTTGGAGCAGTAGAGTGTCCTGTTCAGACCTGTCCGTGGTTCTGTCCACTGGGGACCAGGGAAGAGTTCTGTTAAAAGGCTGTACAGTCACAGTCCTTGCTTGCATCTGGTGCTGGCATCCTCCATAGTCTTTCAGAGTTCTCATAGGGGTGACAAATCTCTGCCATGTTAATTTGGGTCAAGCATAAACCTGAGGTTAACCCATCCCAGGTTTCATTTATTGTGGTATTACTCTCACAGAACATGGGCCTCCTATCCAATTCACTACTGGGAATGACTACTGGAGGCTTGACCCGTTTCTGGTAATAGAATTCCCTCGGAACATAGGCATCCTGCCCAGTTCATTCCTGGAGGCTTTGGATAGATAAAGGAATCCTCACTGCTTGCACTCCACTTCTTCAACTCCCCTGCCAATTCCATCACGTTTCTTTAATGGTGCATTGTTTTGAAACTACTTTTCTAAGCCAGGCATGGCAATCCACACCTGTAAGGTCAACACTTAGGAAGTGGAGGCAGGAGGATCAGGAGTCAGTCATCTTCAGCTACATCGTAAGTTTGAGGCCACTCTGGGCTATGTGAGACCTTTTTTTTTTTTTTTAAAGAAACATCAAGATATAAAAAGAAAATTGCCTGATGAGAGAATGATGCAGTTGCTCCAAACAGGAGCTTACTTCTTAGCTTAAAGAAGGGATCCAGGTAAAATGGAACCTTGTGTAATACAACTGCAAAGAGATAAAAGGTAACTGAATTCTCTGTGGTCATCAGATCCACTCCTCTGCAGTCTTCCTATTTGTCAGCTCCCCAGAGTCTCTAGCATCTGTCTAAAACTGTTTGCAAAGCAGCCAGTTCTGTTCCCTGCCTTAGCCAGGGCCAGGGCTGGACTGTGGCCTCCAGAATCACTGGCTGTGACCCTGGCCCCAATGTCAATGATCCGCTGACTCTCTACGCTAAATTGTGCTGACAATTGAATGTTCTCATTTCTGTCTTCCAGCCTGAAAATTTTTGGCTCAGAATGGGTCAAATAACCACTTGGGCTCC